GCCCCCGCCCTGGATAACGCCAGTACTACCACCACCACGCACACAAGATATAACGCCGACCGTCATGCCTAGAGTTAGTCAGGCGTGGGTCGGAGGCCCGTCGCAGAGCGGCCATCGAAAACAGAGGCCCGGAAGACTAGAGCTGGCGCAACGTGAGACGCGGTTCTGCGGAGGTTCGGCCGCGAGCATTCGGACAGTTGGTTTGGGCACTACTCCGCCAGTGAGCGGCCCAACCTGGGAGCCTCTCAGAACGGGCGGCCGGTGTAGACGCGGTGCCGCTGGTGCAAGTTTCTTCCAGCCAGCGCAAGCCATTTGCTCAGTGAGCTCGGCGACGTGGGGTCTCAGGGCCCGTCCACAGCTGACAGCGGAGCCTCCTCGCCTGTGCGGGCACGGAGCTGACACTACAGCCATCTGTCGTAATGGAGGCAAGCGTTTAAGAAAATGTCCCCCCCCCGTCCCTGGGGCCCCAAGATGAATGAGTGGGGCAGACTAATCGAATTCAGCCGCCAGAGGCTGCTTGTTTAATCGTCCGCCCTCCTGGCGTTCTGTCTCGCCGCCCTGCGGAAACTGATTTCCTATTCGTCTCCCGATTTCCTATGCAGCCGCCAGAGGCTGCTTTTTCCCCATATCCTAAGAATGGGGTTCTTGTTATTGGCAGACGACCGCGCCGGAGGAACACAGGAGAACAGGAACACCCTCACCTCCTTTCACTCAGACCCACTCAGACTCACTCATCACGCAGACTCTCTCATCACTCAGACTCACTCATCAATCAGACTCACTCATCACTCAGACCCACTCATCACTCAGACTCACTCATCACTCAGACTCACTCATCACTCGGATTCAGTCATGACTCAGACTCATCACTCATCACTCAGACTCACTCATCACTCAGACTCAATCATCACTCAGACTCATTCACCACTCAGACGCACTCGTACTTGTACACATACATTCACTACACTCACTCAGGTCCACTCATCGGATGACTCACACACACACACACTGATGTTGAGGATGTGTCAGGCGATTCTTTTGTTTCAACACTCCTAAGGGGAGCGGCGGGGGAGTATTTCACGGGGTCCCGTTCGCGGAATTTTGTGGGGATGTCTCACGCGGTTTGGCCATTTTTCTCTTCCAACATGTGTTGCTTTCGGAGGAGATTTGGAGGATGTCTCAGGCGATTCGCTCGTCTCAGCACTCTAAGGGGGGCGGCGGGTGGGTATTTCACGAGGTCCCGTTCGCGGAATTTTGTGGGGATGTCTCCGGCGGTTTGGCCATTTTCTCTTCCAACATGTGTCGTTTTCGGAGCAGATTCGGAGGATGTCTCAGGCGATTCGCTCGTCTCAGGACTCTAAGGGGGGCGGCGGGTGGGTATTTCACTGGGTCCCGTTCGCGGAGTTTTGTATGGATGTCTCAGGCGGTTTGGCAATTTTCTCTTCCAACATGTTTCGTTTTCGGAGCATATTTGGAGGATGTTCCGAGCCAGGCGCTCATCTTCACGTTCCTAAGGGGAGCGGCGGGAGGGTGTTTCACTCGGCCCCTTTTGAGGATTTTGTGGGGATGTCTCGAGCGGTTTACCTGTTTTCTGTCCCAACATGTTTTGTGTTCGGAGCAGATTTGGAGGATGTCTCGAGCGAGGCGCTCATTTTCACGTTCCTAAGGGGGGCGGCGGGAGGGGGTTTCACTCGGCCCCTTTTGCAGGATGTTGTGGGGATGTCTCGAGCGGTTTGCCTGTTTTCGGTGCCAACATCCTTTGCTTTCGGAGCAGATTTGGAGGATGTCTCGAGCGAGGCGCTCATTTCCACCCCCCAGGTGGGCCAGATTTTGAGGATGACTCGATCGGTTTGCTTGTTTTGGTGGCCAGGCTCGTGGGCGCAGATTCTTCTCAGGATGCCACAGGAGGCTCCAGGAGGCCCCAGGAGACCACATGAGGTCCCAGGAGGCATCAGGAGGCCACAGAAAGATTCAAGAGGCCACAGGATGTCCCAAGAGGCTCCAGGAGGCCCCAGGAAGCTCCAGAATGCCTCAGGAAACCACAGGAGGCCCCAGGAGGCAACAGGAAGCGCCAGGAGGCCTCGGAAGGCAACAGGAGGCCCCGAGAGGCCCCAGGAGCAGGAGGCCTCAGAAGGCAACAGGAGTTGCTCCAATCCCATGTGTTTTACGTATGCTCCTATCGATTGGGCCTCACCTGGAACACGATTATTTGATGTTATACGTATGTTTCGGGGGCGGACAGAACCCCCAATAGTGACACGTCGATTAGTGAATTGTCCGTTTTCGGTTCTCGAGAGGGCGCCGCGGCCGTTATTTTCCAGGCTTGCGCCCGCCAGGTTTGGGTCTCAGGTCGTTTTCACTAAACCACGTTTTGCTAAAGGGGGGTCTGTCCATCCCCGAATGTTTCTATAGATTGTCCTTCTCCTGTGTACACAATACTGCATGTTTTACTTATGTTCCTATATAGATTGGGCCTCTCCTGGGGCACGAGTCCTTGGTGTTTTACGCGTGTTCCTATAGATTGCCCTTCTCCTGCGGCTCTAACCCGCAATGTTTTATGTACGTCTGTTGCTATATATTGCGCTTCTCCTGAGACACGAAACCTCCCTAGGAGGTCCCAGGAGGCCCCAAGAGGCTCCTGGAGACCCCAGGAAGCCCCAGTAGGTTAGACATTCACGGCGGACAGGTCCATGCGAATAGATGCACATATGGGGAGCTCCACGCAGTGAATAATTTACTCGTCCGCCCTCCTGGCGTTCTGTCTCGCCGCCCTGCGGAGACTGATTTTTTCTACTCGTCCTCCTGCGCCTGTCTGATCACCCCCGCCCTCGGGGGGAGGACTGCGGAGAGGGGCCTCTGGAAGCGCCGCTCGGGAGTCTGTTGCTATATATTGCGCTTCTCCTGGGACACGAAACCTCCCTAGGAGGTCCCAGGAGGCCCCAAGAGGCTCCTGGAGACCCCAGGAAGCCCCAGTAGGTTAGACATTCACGGCGGACAGGTCCATGCGAATAGATGCACATATGGGGAGCTCCACGCAGTGAATAATTTACTCGTCCGCCCTCCTGGCGTTCTGTCTCGCCGCCCTGCGGAGACTGATTTTTTCTACTCGTCCTCCTGCGCCTGTCTGATCACCCCCGCCCTCGGGGGGAGGACTGCGGAGAGGGGCCTCTGGAAGCGCCGCTCGGGAGTCCCAGCGCAGCTGCCTATGTTTCCCATATCTGCCGTTCCGACTCAGGAAAAACATAGGTTTCAGTAGGTAAGCGAGGAGGAGTAGAAGAAGGAGGGTGGGGAGTGCATCAAGGGAGAGACGGGAATATTGCACTCCCTTCTCCTTGCATCAAGGGAGTGGACGGAGAAGGGAGTGCAACAAAGGAGGGTGGGGAGTGCATCACGGGAGTCCCAGCGCAGATGCCTATGTTTCCCATATTTGCCGTTCGGCAGAGCAAAGCAACGGATCCGTTTAGAAACTTTGTACGACCGTGCCGGCAGAACAATCGGAAGCGCTTCGGACGCTTACTGTTTTTGCTCCTCTGTGCTTCGCTCGTTTCCCCTCCCTCCATGCCTCTCTTGCTCCGTCCTCTCCCCACCCTCCTCCTTCCATTCCTCCTCGCCCTTGTATGTGGAGTGCATCAATGGGGAGACGGGAATAGCATTCATATTGAACAATTGTGCAGGAACAGTCTTTTACAGGGGGAATGTGAAGAGGGATGGAAGAGCGAGGGGAAGACGGGTGATGCTGATGATGATGATGATGATGATGATGATGATGATGATGAAGATGATGATGATGATGATGATGATGATGATGATGATGATGAGGAGGAGGAGGAGGAGGAGGAGGAGGAGGATGAGGATGAGGATGAGGATGAGGATGAGGATGAGGAAGAGGAGGAGGAGGAGAATCGGAAGAGCTGGGGGAGGATGTCGGTGTCTGGAGGCGGCGCAGAATGTCTGTTGTCCGCCAAGTCAAGATCGAGGATATTGAATGAGGCCTAGATCAGGATCCTGATGGCCGGTTGCCTATCCTGTAAGTGAGCCCCTCCACAGCTTTCGTGGCCTCCTCTAAGGCGAGCGCCTCGGCTGTAAAGGAAGAAATGGGGTCCCGGATACAGGTCCCTGCAATGATGCACACGTCCTCCCCCTTCCTAGTCCTCTCCCTTCGAGGCGGGCTCTCCACGGAGGGACGCGAGGTTTGGGCGTCCGGAGCGCTCCCGGTCACCGCGGTGGACCGACGGCGGGCGGAGCTGGCAAAAGTGAGCACATTGCCTGAGGGCCCGGTCGCACGGTCGCGACTGGCAGGGCGGTTGCGTGGACCACGGACCGAAAAGTCAAGCCTTTCGCCCCAAGAAGCCCCCAGGATGCCCCAAGAGCCCCCCAAGGAGCCCCAAGAGGCCCCCAAGAGGCCCCCAAAAGGGCCCCCAAAGTCTGGACGCCCGAAATGGGTACTGAAAGAAAGGGTACTATGCCCAACAGCAGATCCTGTTCATTTTGAACAGGATTCGCTGTCCGCGCCGCCGCGGCCTGTGTCCATTCGAGACAGAAGGCCGCCTGCCCAACAGCGGCCGCTGTTGGTTTGGGACAACATTTGCTGTTGGGCATAGTGCCCATTCTTTCAGTACCCATTTCGGGCGTCCAAACAAAGGGCCCCAACAGGACTCCCAAGAAGGCCCAGAGACGCCAAATACCGAGCGATCGGTCACGCAGAAAGCTCTTCACGCCGCGGCTCCCAAGAGCGAACAGTGACGCAAACAAGCTGATAAGACCAAGGCTCCCAGCAGAGAGCGGCGACGCAACAAGTTCTCGACACCAGGGCCCGCAACGGGCGGCAACATGTGCTCCGCATAGGCTCCGCGTAGGCTTCGCGTAAGCGCGTAAAGGTCTCGTGAATGTGAGGTACCTTCAAGACAGCCCATGAGAGGCCACGCGTCCTCCAAGGCGGTCCAAGATGCCTCCAAGACGACCCAAGAGGCCAGAGGCCTGCAAGATCGCCCCAAGATGGCCCAAGATACCCCCAAGACGGCCCCAAGACGCGTTCGGACATCTGCTCGAGGCGGGCTTGCTCGAGGCAGGCTTAATTCTACATCTCCCGCTTTACCTTTTCGCGCTGTTCCCCTCACGCAACCATGGCCTTCATGGCGAGAGCTTTTTCACTCGCTGGCCTGTTGACTACCGTGGGCGCGCAGCAGAAATCAGACTACAAGGAAGTCATGCCAGCAGCAGCAGGAACTGGATAGAATCCGGAGTGCAAGGACCTCGAGACAGTCGGCGAGTGGCAAAATGTACAGTAGGCGGCCCAGTGCAAGAAGTATGCCACGATGGTGGGGGGCACGTTTTCAGATCTGCAATCCGGTCAGGCACCGTTCGGTTGCTCCGTGGGCGACTGGGAGACAGCTGACGAATACTACTACGTGCCAGACGCGACGCCCAAACATGGCCCGACAAGCCAGGAGTACCACAACGTCTGCATCTCGATCTCATACACCCCACCCCCCCCACCCCCTTGCCAGGGCATGACCTGCCTTGAGAGGTTCGTGCATTATTGCGAGCAGAGCAAGGCGGACTCTGGCTCCAACAACAACGCGGCGGCGCCCAGGAAGTCTCCGAAGGACATCCTCGTTGCCCAGTGCCCCGACTGCGATGCCGTCGCCGACACGGACATTTGCCCAACGAAGCTTCGCTTGTACGATGATGCTCAGGAGGCGGAGCCGACCTCGAGGCTCGACAAGACGTCAGTTGCGGTATCAGTGCCGCTTGGATTGGTGTCCGCTCTCGTCGCTATGGGTGCGCTCGCCCGCGTCTCCCGCAGCCGCGCGTCCAACCAGCCAGTGCCCGTGGAGGACGAGCAAGACTTGCTGCGCAAGTGAACGAGTACGCCTGTGGCAGTAGCTTGGGACCAGAGGACACAAAGCTTGCCGAGTCCCGCATGCTCTTCTGAGATGCCTCCCCGCCTGACGTGCGCAATCGCTTTGCGCCAGCTCAGCGATCAAAGTCGCGTGCCTCTCTCTTTCTCGCTCTTTCACACGAGCGACCCTACATCCCGCTTACCTCCCTCCTCCCGACGTCCCCGCAGCCCTGCGTGTGCCCTGGCGCCGCTCGGAACGCAGTAAGGAGACCAACCTTCTGCAGGCTCACTGCAGGCTCTGGGCGCAGCCTCACTTTGACTTGAGTTTGAAGTTTCGCTACGCGCGAGTCGCGAGGAAGCTTCGCTCCATTTTTCCCGTCTTCCAAACAAGTTATGGCCATGACGGCCCCTGGAGAACATCAGGATGGCCCCGATATCCCCCCTCCTCACCCCGCCTCGCCTGGCCCTCTTTTATATCCTCTTTCCTCGCCTCCCTCGTTCTCCTCTTCCTCCGCATGCTGCCCCTCTCTCATATACTCATTGCCTTTCCGAATGGTTCTCTGCAGCGTAGATTCTTCAGCGTGTCAACAAGTCGGTTTGCCACTCCCGCCTGGACTTATGCTGACATATCGGGTTGCTGACTGTTCAGTTGCGGAGATTTTCCGCTGGGCCGTTCGGTATGTTCCTCGCGCCCAGGTGTGTTAGTTTGCTGGACCGTCTCGCTGGCTGGATCCGCTTGCGGACATCCCAGCATGTCAGATTGAGGTGCCTTTCGCTCCTAATTCTTCATGCGGCCTCCCCTCTCACATGCTCCATCTTCAGCGTGTCAGCAGTTTTGGGCGTGTTAGGCTGACAAGCTGGGGGGGCGCCCTTGGCCGCGCCCTACCTGCACAAGCTCCTCGCCAGCTTGAGGCACCTCCAAGACGGCGTGAGAGAGGTTTAGACGGTACCGAAGACGGCCCAAGATCAATCCAAGATCGCCCAAGATGGCAACAGCACAGCCCAAGAGGCCTCCAAGATACCCCAAGCGGCACCCGAGAGGACCCGCAAACGTGCTGAATGACGAATTATCCATGGTTGCCTTTAGGTGTGTGAAGGTTTTCCAGCTCCTCGCCTTTTCGGGCAATAACTGCCCGATACAGCTTCAGAGCCCCCCGAGATTGTGCCATGACGGCCAGAGAGGCCCCCAAGAGAGCCTGAGGACGGCCCAGAAGGGCTCCAAGAGGGCCTACGAGAGCCACAAGACGGCCCAAGGAGGGCCTGGGAGACGCCCAAGATGCTCCCAAGAGGCAGTATGTCGTCGTCATCATCATCAGCAGTATTATCCGAATCTTCATTCGTGTTTTATCGCGCTCGGGTGCCTTCCCAAGATACCAACACGCCCTGGTTCCCCATCAAGAGGCCTCCTGCAGCTTCGAGATGGCCCTAGAGAGCGCCCACTATGCAACCACGATGCCCCAAGAGAGCCTCCAGACGGGAAGACAGGAGACAGAACCGGCAAGCCAGCGAAATCTCGCGCTCTGAAAGTAAAAGCACTTTCCGTCCCCATGCCAAGCAGGTAACGGAAAGAGCGAGGTACGAGTGAATGACGTTGTAGTGTGGGGCGAAGCCCTTAAGGGGGGAGTGCAGAGGGGGGGAGTGCAGAGGGGGGAGGTCTAGGGGAACAGTTTAATAACCGTTTTCGGGTTTCCCCTCGGGTTTTTGCATGTTTCTCGGGTTCTCCCCTTTTCCGTCCCAGAAGGGCCGAGGCCCCAAAGATCATTCCAAGACGGCCCCAGAGACGCCCCAAAGGGGCCCACAACGGTCCAGCAGGGCTTCAGACGGGCCCAGCGCGCCCAAGAGGCTCCCAAGGTCGTCCCAAGACAACCCCAGAGGCTCCCCAAAGGGGCCAACCCTTATCCAAGGGGACCCCCAGACGGCCCCAGAGGGACCCAAGAGGGCCCAAGAGGGCCCCAACACACTCCAAGAGAGCCCCAAGAGGGCCCCAAGAGGCTCCCAAGCGGGCCCCAGGAGGAGGGGGAGGAGGAGGAGGAGGAGGAGGAGGAGGAGGAGGAGGAGGAGGAGGAGGGAGGAGGGGGAGGGGGAGGGGGAGGGGGAGGAGGAGAGGGAGGAGGAAAAGGAGGAGGAGGAGGAGGACGAAGAGGAGGACGAGGAGGGGGAGGATGAGGAGGAGGAGGAGGAGGAGGAGGAGGAGGAGGAAAGGAGATAGAAGAAGGAGGAGGAGGAGGAGGAGGAGGAGGCGGGAGAGGAGGTGGAGGAGGAGGAGGCAGAGGAGGAGGGATGAGGAGGAGGACGAGGGAAAGGAGGAGGAGAAAGAGGAGGAGGAGAGGAGGAGGAGGTGGAGGAGGAGGAGGAGGAGGCGGAGGAGGAGGAGGAGGAGGGGGAGGAGGTCCGTAGCCATTTTGGCTCAAGCTGTTTCTCCCGCTTTCCGCCATAGCCATTTCCGGGCGATGGCGGGGCGTGCAGGAGGAGATGGCTGCGGGAAGGGTTGCCGGGCAGGCGATCCTCGGAGGAGCCGTGCTCAGCGCTCGGCGGCGCGGAGGCGGGCTCTGGAGTCAGCGGACGCGGGCCTCGCAGCGGCGAGGCACGAGGTGGATGTCCTCACGGAGCGACTTGCCAGCGCCCTGGAGATTCTTCGCGAGCTCGAGCAGGCGATGGAGCCCGAGTCCGAGCTGGGTCGCAGGATTATGCTAATCATTCCTGTCTTGGCTGCCAAGCTGCAGGGCAGACCCATTCCTGGTTCAGTCAGGGCCAGGCGCAACGCGGCCGAGCACGTTTTCGACACTCCAGCGGACGTCATCGCCCTAGCTAGCAGCACGGAGCTCAACAGGCTGCAGCGGGGCTGCGGCAGCGGGAAGGGCGAGGGTGTCCGTCGCGGAGCTTGCGATCTTCGCGCCGATACACTTCCTTTCGTTCCTGGGGCTGGACGGTGGGCGCCGCTCCCACCTATCATCGTGTGCACATGCGGGGCCACTGTCTTCTCGTCACTCGAGCTGCCTGACCCATGCTTCATGTTTACAAGTCCTGGCCCGACCGCCGCTCCCGAGGGGAAGGTTGCGGGCTCGTCGGGCGGGGGCAAATCTCATTCCCCCGCTGACGTTGCATCTCTGTCTGCGCTGGAGGGGCGCTCCAGCAGTGGCTCGGCCAGAGGGCCCCTGCGGGGGATGACTGCCCAGGCGGCGGGCCGACCGCGTGTGGCGGGAGCTGGCGCTGGTGTCTTGGCTGCTGGTGCTGACGCGCGGCATGGTCACCCTGCCGTGGCGGCCAGCTTGGAGGCGGCGCGCGAGGAGCAGGGTGATGCCGAGCAGTCTGGCGACGCGGCCCTGGATGCTGCCACGGTTGCGCCCGACCCCGCCTCCGACACGATCACCTATACCGACAAGGGCCTGGTCAGCGACGTGGGCCTGCTCGCGGAGGAGGTGGGCGGGCTGGCTTTGCAGGAGCTGGAGGAGATGCACCGCCAGATCGTCTCTTCCCCTGGTCGGGTGCGCTGCCGCGCGGGGGCTCAACCTTTTGCGCGCCGCAGGGGCGAGGTTAACTTCGTCAGCGAACGTTTCGAGGAATTGGTGCAGTGGTCGGCCTCTGTTACATCATCCACGGGGCGCCCCTTCGTTCGGCGGCAGGCGCGGCTCACCCCAGGCATCCGTGGAATCGGGCCGCCAACCGATGCATCGTGCGAGCAGCAGTAGTGCCCATGTCTCGGTTGTGCGCGCGCGTCTTGCATTCAGTGTTCTGCAAGTGTAGTTGTCCTTGTAAGTGTGTGTGTGCGCGTGATTTGACCGATTGCATCGTAGCTTTAACGCGCGCGCGCCTCTCTGAATCTAGTGTTGCGCTGCATGTTGATTGTGTGCGTTCAGGCCGCTTGCCTCGCATGCGTTGCCGCGTTGTTTCAGTGAATGATTTGCATGCCCTCTCACGTTCGACTGAGAGGTTGACCAATCACAGTGTTGTGCATCATGTTTCCCCTCTGTTGCCAGAGGCAGACTTGCATATAGTAGTATTAGGTTTTCGTTGTGAACTCGCGGGTTGCCTCTTGGGCCTCGGGATGTGCGACGAGGAGGAGGAGGAGGAGGAGGAGGAGGAGGAGGAGGAGGAGGAGGAGGAGGAGGAGAGGGGGGGGAGGAGGGGGGGGAGGAGGAGGAGAGGAGGAGGAGGAGGAGGAGGAGGGAGGAGGAGGAGGAGGAGGAGGCGGAGGAGGGAGGATGAGGAGGAGGAGGAGGAGGAGGGGGAGGAGGAGCGGGAGGGAAGGAGGAGCAGGGGGAGGAGGAGGGGAGGTGGGGGAGGGGGAGGAGGAGGAGGGGGAGGAGGAGGAGGGGGAGGAGGAGGGGGAGGAGGAGGAAAGGGAGGATGAAGCGGAGGAGGAAACGGAGGAGGAGGAGAGGAGGGGGGAGGAGGAGGAGGAGGAGGAGGAGGAGGAGGAGGGGGAGGGAGGAGGAGGAGGAGAGGAGGGAGGAGGAGGAGGAGGAGGAAGAGGAGGAGGAGGAAGGGGGAGGAGGAGGAGGAGGAGCAGGAGGGGCAGGAGGAGCAGGAGGAGCAGGAGGAGGAGGAGGAGGAAGAGGAGGAGGAGGAGGAGGAGGAGGAGGAGGATAATGAGGAGGAGGAGAATGAGAAGGAGGAGAATGAGGAGGAAAACAAGGAGGTATGTTTTTTTTTGTTTTCTTCCTGTTGTTTCCGCGTTCTGCCCCAGAAGGGCCCCGCGCGGCACAAGATGCCCCACAGATCGGCCCGACAGGCTTCCGAGGCGCCCCGGGAAGCGCTCAAGCGGCGCCCCGAAGCGCCCCCAAGAGGCCGGGGAACCAACATTTTTAGCATATACGGTTTTTCGGCTTTCGCGTCGTTGGCGACGGCCCAAGAGGCCCCCAAGATCGCCCAAAGACGGCCCAAGAGGCCCCCAAGAGGCCCCCAAAACGGCCCAAGAAACCCCGAGACGGCCCACGAGGCGCCCAAGACTGCCCAAGTGGGCCCCCGGACGGCTTCAAGAGGGGGATCACGAATTGAAAAGTCCAGCCTTTCGCCCCAAGACGCTCCCAGGAATCCACAAGACGGCCCCCCAAGAAGCCCCAACAAGAGGCCCCCAAGAGGCGTCCCAAGAGGCCACCAGGATGCCAACATCGCGGAATTCCTATTGGAAAGCGCACATGTTTAGCATGCGCGGCTTTTCGGCTTTCACGGCGTTGAACACGGTCCACGAGGTCCCCAAGACCGCCCCAAAACGGCCCAAGAGGCTCCCAAGAGGCACCCAAAACTGCCCAAGAGGGCCCCAATACGGCCCCAGGGGCGCCCAAGACGGCCCAAGAGGACCACGAACCGAAAAGTCCAGCCTTTCGCCCCAAAAACCCACCCAAGAGGTCCAATAAACCCCAAGAGGCCCCCAAAAGATCCCCCAAAAACCTTCCAAAGGGCCCCAATCGGACCCCCAAGAAGGCCCAGAGACGCCAAATAAAGAGGTATCGGTAACGCAAAAGGCTCTGGACACCAAGGCTCCTCAGAGCGAACGGTGACGTAAACAAGCTGATAAGACCAAGGCTCCCAGCAGGGAGCGGTGACGTAACAAGTTCCTGACACCACGGCCCAGCCAAGGCCCAGGGACCGGCGGCAGCGCATCAATCTCTGAACACCAAGGCTCCCAAGAGCGAGTGGTGACGTAACAAGCTCTCAATGCCAAGGCTCCCAGTACGAACGGTGGTGCGAGTAATTTCGGTTTCTGTGCCTGAAGTGCTTTTTGTTCCGTTTCTGTGCCAGGCCAGGTAACGGAAAAAACGAGGTACGAGTGATGACGTTGTGTTTGGGCGAAGCCCTATAGGGAGGGGTCCAGGGGAGGGGCAGGGGGGGAGGGATGTGATCAAATTGCCGTTTTCGGGTTTCCCTTCTGGTTTTTGTATGTTTTTTCCTCGTTCTTTCATTTTCCGGCCCAGAGGGCCCCAGATTGCCCAAGAGGCCCCACAGATCGGCCCAATAGGCGTCCGAGACGCCCCGAGAGGCGCCCAAGAGGAGCCCCAAGAGGCCCCCAAGAAGCCAAACTTATT